TTTCTTTTCCTTTTTTTTTTTTTTTTTTTTTTTTTCACCTCTCTCCATCACTCCAAACGGGTCGATTTAATTATTATCGGGTTTTAATTATTTTGTTACCTGACTTTTTCCTCTTGCCTTTTTTTTTTTCCTTCCTTTTTTTGATTGAAGGTTGTGCTAAGACTTTTTTTTTTTTTTTTAAAGCCTTAAAAAAGAAAAGGGGGGGAAAGAAGCCAGCAAGAGACTGAAAAAAGCAAGAGAAAGTGGCAGCTAAGGAGGACTGTGAAATCACCTCCCCTTTCTGGAGCTGTCGATCAGAGCGAGAGTTGTACATTATTATTATTGTTTTTCTTTCTACATCTGTCTACCCACAAACACACGCAGAGAGAGAGACAAGTACAGACAGTGAAACTCGACGAGACCAGCCATGGTAGCAAGGGCTCAGCCTGATCGGAAACAATTACCGCTGGTCCTACTGAGATTGCTTTGCCTTCTCCCTACAGGGCTGCCAGTCCGCAGCGTGGATTTTACCCGAGGTACCGATAACATCACCGTGAGGCAGGGGGACACAGCCATCCTCAGGTAGGGCATTTTGCCAACTTTTCCTTTTCTACGTGTGTATCTATATTTCTATGTACGCAACATATACATGTGATGCGATTATAGATTTGTGTGTGTATGTCTCTGGGAGAGTGTGTGTTATTTTACCTCTCGAACTGCAGTAGCAGCAGCTGCTACAAACAAGCTCTGCGTGTGTGTTTGTGCTTTAATATAAAAAAAATCGCAAAGCTTTTGAAAACCTCTTGCCACCACTCTCCTCTGTGTAGTGCTCTGGATCAAAAGAATTTCAGTGGGGAAAAATCTGTTTGTGTTAGCTAGCTCTCATGAACGTACATTTTCCACCAGCCCTGCAGTATCAATAGAGAAATCGAAAAAGGGATCCAGATGTGCTTGCCAGATGTTCCATCGATCTTCCCATACTTCTTTTTGTACCTATGCAAAAACTTTATCCCTGGTGCTGCCAGAACTCTTGGGCAAGTTCTTTTGGGAAACTCTGGCTTTTAATTTTATTTATTTATTTTTCTGCTCTGAAGGGAGGGGAGATGAATACAGTAGTTGAAAAGACTGGTGAAAAAATGGTGTAAGAGCTCCGGTATTTATGAAGCTTGTATCTCATTCACTGTGTTGGTTTCTTTGCAGGGCTAAGTAAACGGGTGTATGCTGTGCCTTCGTGTCTGAGTGGTTGCGATGAGGGTGTCTCTGCACATGAAGCCCTGTTCACAGGCGCTGTTGAGTGTTATATTTCTGTATTCGTCGTGCAGGTTTTCTAAAGGTAGTTCTGAGGCTACTGGGGCTTTCAGTTAGGAGTGTCCCAAATAGCTGAAACGCAGTCATCTTTGTTCCTGTGGGTTTCTTTTTCAAATTCTGCCTTGCTCAACTTACCCGCAGTAACTTCCTTACTGAGGGAAAATTCTGTGCATGTGAGTGTGTGCACACACTGTGTATTATGGCTATAAAACTACTGGACGTAATTTAAAATAAGTCTGTAAGCTGTATGAGGAGCTGATAGTGCACAAACCCTGAAGCATCAAGGGAGCAATTCCCTAGCAAAGCTAACAGCAGCAGCAAAGTTTTCTTTCTCTGAAATAAATCCTGCTAGATGTCACCAAATGGTCTGCTACATGATCCCCAGTGTCCTGCATCCCTCCCATTTAATGACAGAGGGGTATGTGAGCTAGCAAGATGGGATCAGGGAAGAAGGATGCTAGAAGAGAGAGGTGTGTGTGTGTGTACACGTATCGCTTCTCTCAGCTCCCGTGTGCTGGGTTGTTTTGATCCTGGAATATCTGTTCAGCAGCTTCCATTCCCCAGCTCTCCAGACTTGTTAACTTGCATGTAAGATTTATCCACACGGAGTAATAGGATTTACAGAGTAATTCATCTGCCTTGCATATGCGATGGAAGGGGTTTAGATGCGACATGGTAAACACCTAGCAAGGGGTGTTGCCTCTGACTCCCAGCTCCTCTCCTCTCACTTCCACTCACTAGCAATTCATATATCCTATTAACCCTTTTCTAGTGGTACTCCCAGCTGACTTATCCCATTTTTAAAGGCAAATCACTTCCATCAATCATGTATTTTGGAGGGGCTGCTCAGGCAGATGTTTGCCGGCATATGTGTGGTACATAGAGCAGCAGACAAGTCATTAAACTCACTTGCCCAGCCAGGGGTCACTGGATTTCTATTTCCCACTTAACCTTGGAGCTTTTGAGTTTATCTAGGTGCTGTGTGCTAAAGCTGCATTTGCAGCAGAGAAGGCTGAGCGGATGGTGGAGATGGTGCCTGCATGTGCTGCGTGTAAAGCGTTCGTCAGCAAGCTCAACGGGGCTGCATGGGAGAGCAGTTTCAGTGTTTGTGTGGGGAGTGTGTGGCTTGCCAGTGTTATGTCAGGCACTAAAATAAAACACCTGAGTGAGGTGCTCCAGCTGTGTCAGCCAGATGTGTGCCAAGTGACACAGTTCGCAGCAGCGGCACACCACCCAGCCATGTAACTGCTTGCCCCGAGCAATACCGTGTTCCTGGCAGGCTGCGTTTCTGTCAGAAGTGATTGTGGCCGGTGCACAGGCTTTCCCTCCCTCAGCTGCCTTCCTAAGCTCTTTAAGCAGGTCTGGCTGGCTATATGCTTTTTCTGTTTCCTAGGAAGAGCAGCCATCTCCCCTCCCTTTCCCTGGGACCAGCCCCAGGTTTCTGGGATGTTTCAGTCCCTCCTTCAGAGGAGAGGCAGAAGCCGGGCTGTGCCGGGAGACAGGACTGCCACATGCGGCAGGAAGGGGTGAGATTTCCCTTTGTCCCGTACACTTTAGGTCCTTCAGGATGATGTTTTGTTGCCTCAGTTTTAAAGCAAGGGTTGGTTTGCTAGCTTCCCTCTTGCTGTTTTTCCTGTCCCTCCAAAACATAACTCACTTTAAGACAGCCTTGTGTTTGAAAAACTCCCAGCATCTCGCTCTCCCTGCCTATAGATCCTCTAGTGACGATGCAAGGGGAAGAGCTAGATGGGGAAAAACCATTAGATGACGTATACTAACTGTGCTCAGAGCAGATCTTTACCTCCACAGAGAGATAGGTAAGAGATTTCTATACAAAGATCATATCACCTATCTTTGCTATGCACCTGCTTCAGAGTGAAGAGGACATGTGCAGCGGTGGTTTACCAATGCCCAGCAGCTCCATCCTGTAGCTTGAAGCGAAATGAAAATGTAGGAGGGAGAAAAAATTATATGCAGTTGGAGAGAATTAAAAGCAATGTACATAGTGATAATATAACTAAAAATATTTTGTTCATGTAAATTGTGATGCAAATCATTCAGCAAAGCACCAAGGACAGGGTACGCTGAATGATTCTTCTCCTTTGGGGCCTTATACATTTGTATATAGTGTTACACTTGTAGATGGAAGAATGGGTGGGTGGACTGTTTTATGAAGTGGAGAAAAATAGTTTATTATAAGCCGTAATGTTCCTAAAGGAAGCCAGTCCTCTGGAGCTTCATCTATAGCTTGTTACTCGGGACAGAATTATTCTGGGAAGTTTGGATATGACTTTTTAAAGCTATGGCATTTAAAATATTCCCTTGCTATGGACTTAAAAAAAAAATGTTCCTAATTCTATGATGGCTCATCTCCTAAATGACCTGGCAGCAGATTTGATTCATTTGTTGGCCTTGCTGAAGGCTGATGACTTTTAGTGAGTATTTGGCTTGGGGAAGTTAGTCAGGGAATTGTAGAGAGAGAGAATAAAAATAGCTCGTGATAGACTATCCACAGGGAAAAGGGTAATGATCCGCTCCTTAGAGCGAGGCTGAAAGGGGAGGAGGGGTCTGAAAGCTGCAACAGGTGAGAAAGGCTGAGCAGAGCTTCTGGTGCTCGGCCAGCTACAACTAAGAGAAGAGAGCAGGATGTTTCAAAGATGACACTGCAGATCAGAGAGCCTGTCAGACTTGCTAAGGTTTCATTTTTTAACTCTGTCTTCAGCAAGCAAAGAAGGACACTGAACCTTATTTTGAGTATTGAGAGGGAACTGTGTGCTACAATTCCTGCCACCGTTTTGCTTGAAAGATCACAGTCATGAGGTTGTCAGGTTTTGTACGCAACTTCCCTGCTTGATGTTAGAAAAAAAAGAATCTCCAAACAACAAACACACAAAATACCCCCCAAAACTAATTAAAATGGGAAAAGAAAAAAAAGCCGCAACCCCAAATCTTCTGTCTGTTTACTTGGCCCCAGCATCCCCTCCCACCTCATTTTCTCTGCAAGTGTTGGGTGAGCAAAGGCAGGGACCCTGTGCCTTCCTTGGCACTTTCAGCCTATGGAGGGGATGAGAAATAGGAGGATGTTGGCTAAGCGAAGGGCAGCTATTGCAAACTGGGGAGGGAGGGAACTGTTCCTCCATGTTGTGTTTGGCCCTTAAGATGGGTTAGAAGCAAAATGGCAATGGGGTCTATGCCGTGGGATCAGGTACCTGTACAGTGTGTCGGGGGAAAGATCAGCTCCCTCAGGGAACCATCACAGCAGCTCACCCCGAAGTGTCTTTAAAGCACTCTTCTGAGGGTGTCAGTGGGACTTGCAGGTTGCCCAGGGCTTTTAGTAGTCCTGGCAGAAGGGCGTATTTGGCCTTTAATGACCTCTAAAATAGAGCTCATCACTAGCTGGAACCAAAATGGGGGACATCCCTGTTCCCATCTGCTCAGTTATACCAGTACAAATCCACCAAAGCCCAAGGGCACTGCCGCTTTTGTCTTTGGGGCAGATTTCTGGGGACTGCTAATAAAGAGGTACAAGTGACTCATGCAGGGCTTAGGCTGCTGAGTGCTGCTCAGATGATGCTCAGCCCGTTGGAGAACTGGGATCTTGCCAAGGCCAGAATTTGGCTCATTGTTCTTGAGTTTTTCCAAGCATCAACTTTTCATCAAGAATTAAATCAATCCGATGCTGATGCACTGATGAAAACCAACATTTAACTGAGTGTGCAATTTCCATTTTTTACCAGGTATTTTTAAATACTATGAAGTTTCAGGATGATGGCACGTTTAGGAACTTCCATCCTAATGGGTACTTAGTTTCTTCAAGTTACATGTGTCAAAGGATGGGCTAGAATCAAATTACCAGCAGCAATGGTAGCGCTGTTGGTGTAATCCTGCAATATAAGCAATTTATGCCATCTCTGTTCTTCGCCTCCCAGTATTTTGCTGATATTCTACAGCTATGCTAGAGGACAAAGGCACCTCAGGCAAAGTAGCAACACAGCATCACAACAAAGTTTATGCCCTATGCAGTCATTTTAAAAGAAAAGTGAAAGCTGTTCAGATTACATTTATAATTAGCATATGATTTGTAACAGGCAGCACTGAGCTGAGCCCTTTGCTAGGAATGAGAATAGGCATGTTCAAAGGTATAATGCTACATAATAATACAGCCTTGGCAGTAAAATTGTAACCTTGATTATTAGTAGTGGTGTTGTGGCACTTAAAGGCCACCACTAAGTTGAGGCACCCTTTGTATTAAGTGCCACGTGAGCACGGAGTAC